GGATGAGACGACCCGAGCTGCGGAGGGTAATACGACCGAGTGGTCGAAAGAGATGTGCGCCCGAGTGGAACAGGGCGAAATTGTTCCCGAGGCGTCTGGGGGCGATTCAGCGGTTCGGAACAAAGAGCCTTCGAACTCCGCTATTCTAGCCCTCCCGAAGTCGACGAGGCCCCCGACTTCCGTCGTGCAGAAACACGACCCGAGCCGAAAACGTTCGGCTGCTGCTAAAGGGAAGGGGGTCGCTGTTGAGAGGGACGAGCCGTCCAAGAAGAGACGGAAGCCGACGTCTGGAGAATCCGCCGCGCGCAAGTTGGTCGTCGATGACCCCGACGCCTCCGCCATAATTTTCTCGCGTGTAAATAACGCGAACACGCGTCTTCCTCCTCCGGAGAAGTTGAGGAGGCCGAGGTCCTACGGCGCAATGGCGCAGCGCGGGACCAAGGTACATTCCATTTTGCTTTCCTTTGCTTTCGTGAATTTTCGCTAAGTATTTAACGACCTAATGGCCGAGTACGAGGCGGACCTGTCTAAGGTCGAACGTCGCTTGGCCGAGGCCAAAATTGAGTCCGCATCATCAAAAACGAAGCTGGAAGAGGCTCAGACCGAAGCCGCGGCGGTAAAGGGGAAACTGGACGAGGCGACGGCCAGGGCGTCCAGGCTGGAAGAGGAGAAGATCGTCCTGCGTGCAAACGTAGATAAAGTCTCCGCCTTGGTCATTCGCCTTGAGGAGGCGAGGAGAGCCAAAAGTGCCGAGGTGGCGATGCTGAAGAGGCGTATCGAGGCCAAGGATGCCTTGTTTGATGCTAAGGTCAAGAGGGCGAAAAAGGAGGCGAGGCGAGAGCTTACAGCGAAGTTTCAAGAACGCCTCGCCAAGGTGGAGGAGGGTCTGGTTCGGCTTGAAAAAGCCAAGAATGACGAGAATGATCTGGGACAGATTAAGGGCAATCTGGCGATGATTGCCGACCTGAAGAGACCAGATGCCCCGACGCTCGACGACGAGGAAGCGAAGCTGAAAAGCTGGGAAAGCGAGTATGCCGATGAAGAGGCGTACGAGCGTATTGCTTCCGAGATTCGGGGCGAACTGTATTACTCTCCCGTTTCGCCGGACTCAGTTGACACAACCCTCGGTAACGAGCCGATCGAAGAAACAGCGGCCAATTTAGGCGTTGTCGACCCGAACGGCTCGAATGCGGGCTTGCCGATTCCCTCGAACCTTCTCGCCGATCGTGAGACGCAATCCGCGGCATGAGTTTTGGCTCACAAATTTTTCTTGTTTGTTTTTGTACTTAGATTTTTTACCCGCTCCTTGTTGAACTTTTATGTGTTTTGTGCCTGGACGGCTTTATCCACCCGACTCTTTATTTTTGCTTAATGGATATATTTTCCTTAGCCGTTTTTCGGATTTACTTGTCCATTAATTCGTAGAAGTGTTTTCGTAAACTTGTCGAGGACGAGGGCTGTTATGTCGATTTTTGCCTTAACTGTATTTTCGAAATTGACCGGAACACGGGCTAAGGGATGAATTGTTTTAAGGACCTCGTTTTAGGTTCAAGGCAAATTTTGATAGTAAAAGAGTGTTACGCGACAATGTTCAAGGCAAGTTTTTGTTGGTAATGCCGAGCCGTGCTTACGGCGAGGCGTTTTTGCCTTGAATATTGTCGAGCCGTGTAAACGACGAGGTGTTTCTGTTTCGAATGGTGTCAAATTGTGAAAACGGCGAGGCGTTTTGCTTCGAGTGATGCCGAGCTGTAAAAACGACGAGGCGTTTTGCTTTTGTTAGCCGAGGTTGAAGTGTTATCGAACCTGTCTAAAGACCGGTGTTCTCGAGTATGTTTATCCGGGTTTAAGAGTTTACTTCGGTTTTAGAGAAAGCGATGTAGTCTCGACTTATATTCTCGTGTGCGATAGTAAACCGTGGCGACCAGATACGTTTTTGGTCTGATACTTGTATAGCGCGCTTAATTTTTATCCGTAGAGGATGTAATTTGCACCCTCGTCCTAGGAAAGGTGGTAAAAGTCCGTTTAGAGAACCTTGTCCTTGTTGTCTCGTTGTGGCCAGCAACGAGACGAGGCGTTCGGAGGCTTAGTTTGCCGAACTGAAACTGAGGACCGATTAAGGTCCAATGTAATCGGGTCATGATATTATGCCGATGTGGTATGATTACTTGCCGAAGCGATGAGTGATAAAATTTTAAAGATCCGAGCCTGTTACAATGTGAAGCTAGCCGAAGCGATAATAATTGAACTAGGAAAATCAAGGGCAAAAGTGAAATAAGTAGATGATTAAAAACGAACTGAGAATATGCCGAAGTGGCGACGTTCCTAAATGGGTAAGTCAAAATAATAGAGCTAAAGGAGGTATGTGTACACGTACCCACTCCCCCCCTTTTTAAGAGGGGGGACAGCTGAACCCGTCCGAAGACGGGCTGCCTACGTACCCTTTGCAGGGATCAAGCCGTCCCGTAGTTCATGCTGGTCGTGCTGTATCCTTAGTGATAGTATTTCTTCAGATGCATTGCGTTCCATGATCTTGGAACCGCCTCGTCGGCTAGTGTCGCGAGTTCGTAGACTCCCGGACGAACCACTTTGGTGATCTTGTAAGGACCTTCCCAATTTGCTCCGAGCTTTCCTGCGTTCTTCTCGGCAGTATTTTGGAAGACCTTTCGGAGGACGAGCTCTCCCTCTTTGAATCTTCGGCTACGAACGTTTTTGTTGTAGTACCGCGTCGTTGCTTGTTGGTAGTTCTGAATTCGAACTAGGGCTTGGTCGCGCTTTTCGTTGATTAGGTCGAGCTCATCTAGCATCATTAAGTGGTTTAAGCCTTCTTGTCCTGGTAGAAGTCTTCGTCGAATACCTGGGAAGTCCACCTCGGGGGGAATTACGCACTCCGATCCGTAGACCAGAGCGAATGGAGTTTCCCCAGTGGCTCGGCGCGGAGTTGTCCGATGAGACCAAAGAACTCCTTCGAGTTCGTCTGCCCACCGTCCTTTCTTCTCGTCGAGCCTCTTTTTCAGACCATCGAGGATCGTCTTGTTGGCTGCTTCGGCTTGTCCATTCCCTTGAGGGTATCTTGGCGTGGATTTGCTGAGGCGGATTTTCCACTTCTCGCAGAAAGCTTCGAAGCGTGTTGAAATAAACTGGGATCCGTTGTCGTTGACGATCTCGTAAGGGACCCCGTGTCGGCAGATTATATTTTTCCAGACGAAGTGTTCGACCTGAACATCTTTTATACTTGCGTAAGAATCGGCCTCGACCCACTTGGAAAAGTAATCCGTGAGGACGAGCAGAAAACGCTTCTGTTTCGAGCGATGTAAAGGTCCGACGATGTCCATCGACCATCTCATGAATGGATAGGGCGACGAAATTGACAAGAGCAGCTCGGTAGGTTGGTGAATTGTTGGACCGTGCCGCTGACATTTCTCGCATTTCGCCGTGAATTTCTCGCAGTCTTTGACCATCGTAGGCCAGAAGTAGCCGTGCCGTTTTATCTTGATAGCGAGCGACCTTCCGCTGGAGTGGTTACCGCACGCACCGCTATGCACCTCGTGCATGATCTTTCGTGCTTCCGGTCCTTCGACGCATGTCATGAGAGGCCCCGAAAATCTCCATTTAAACACCTCGCCATCGACGAGGACATAACGTGCTGCCTGAGCTTTAAGCTTGCGGGCTTCCCATTTGTCGGTTGGCGCCTCTCCGTCGGCGATGTACGTTCGGATGGCCCCGAGCCATTCTTTGTCGCAGCCGTATTCCGGCTCGGCCGACGAGGCGTCTTCCTCCATCGGAATGGCTTCGTCGTCTTCTGGTACTTGTTCAGGGGGATTTATCAGCCGAACTCCTTCTACTTCTTCGATGCTAGGGCGTTCGATGAATTCGACTGGGATCGTTCGTCGGAGGTCCGGGTCCGAGGTTGAAGCGAATGCTGCTAAGGCGTCGGCCGAGGTGTTTTCTCCTCGGGGAATGCGAGTGAGTTCGAACTCATCAAACTTTTGCACCAACTCCCGGACCACTTTGAGGTAAGCGCCCATACGTCCATCCTTTGCCTCGTATTCTCCGTTGAACTGACATGCTACGAGCTGCGAGTCGCAGAAGGTTCTTATTTTTCGAACTCCGATTCCTTGTGCTAGCCGTATGCCGGCGATCAGTGCCTCGTATTCCGCTTCGTTGTTTGAGGCGTGGAAGTTCAGGCGAAAGGACTGCTCAAGTATTTCTCCGGTGGGAGAGGTAAGGCGGATTCCTATTCCCGAGCCATGTTTAGATGACGAGCCGTCGACGTGCAATGTCCATACTTCGTCTAGGGTTTGCTCGTTTGTTGCTTCGGCCGGGAGTTCAATGAGGAAATCAGCGAGCACTTGTGATTTTGCAGACGACCTATTCCGATACTCGATGTCGTATTCGCTTAGCTCTATGGCCCACTTGGCGAGCCGACCGGATTGGCTTGGGCTGTGCAGGATCGAACACAGCGGAAGGGTGGCGAGCACAACAATCGAATGCGACTGAAAGTATGGGCGCAGCTTGCGAGCCGAGACTACGACGGCTAGGGCGACCTTCTCGATTTGTGGGTAGCGGGTCTCGGCGTCGGTCAGTGTTTGGCTGATGTAGAAAATGGGTTTTGCTCGGATCGTTCTTCTCTGATTAATACCCCACTTACAGCTGTAGCAGACACCGCGATGTAGAGGAAGAGCGACTCTCCTTCGACCGGTTTTGCTAAAATTGGCGGGCTCGCCAGATAAGTCTTCAGTTCTTGGAAAGCCGTCTCACATCGTTCGTCCCATTCAAATTTTTTGTTTCCTCTGAGGGTGTCGTAGAAAGGCAGGCATTTGTCCGTGGAACGGGAGATAAATCGATTTAGCGCAGCGACTCTCCCTGTTAACCTTTGTACTTCACGCTTCGTCCTTGGAGAGGGCATTTCAACTAACGCCTTAATCTGCTTGGGGTTTGCTTCTATGCCCCGGTGGGTTACCAGATAGCCGAGGAATACTCCCGAGGTGACTGCGAACCTGCACTTCGCCGGATTTAGCTTCATGTTGTGCTTGTTCAACTGTTCGAAACATTCTTGTAGGTGCACGACGTGGTCTTCCTCCTCGAGTGACTTAACTAACATGTCGTCGATGTATACCTCCATAGTTTTCCCGAGCTGAGCTGCAAACATTTTGTTGACGAGCCGTTGATACGTTGCTCCTGCGTTTTTGAGCCCGAACGGCATGACTTTGTAGCAATATATCCCGCGATCGGTTATGAATGCCGTTTTTTCCCGATCATCAGGATGCATCAGGATCTGATTATAGCCGGAGAACGCATCCATAAACGTTAACAGTTTGTTCCCCGCAGTGGCCTCGACGAGCCGGTCGATATGTGGCAGGGGAAAGCTGTCTTTTGGGCACGCCTTGTTGAGGTCGGTAAAATCCACACAGACTCGCCACTTGCCGTTCTTCTTCTTCACAACCACCGGGTTTGCGAGCCAGTCCGGATATTTGGTCTCGGCGATTGATCCTACCTTGAGTAATCTCTCAACTTCGTCGTTGACTGCTTTAGCTCGTTCTGGACCAAGCTTTCTTCTTTTCTGCTTGACTGGTTTGAAGGTTGGATCCACATTAAGCTCGTGACAGGTTACGTCGACGCTGATGCCTGGCATGTCTTCCGCCGTCCAGGCGAAGGTATCAATGTTTTCCTTGAGGAGGGAAAGGAGCTTGCTTCTCAGAGGTTCGCCTAGTTGTGTTCCAATTTCGACGCACCGCTCCGGATGCGCCTCGTCTATGCACACCGAGTCCACTGCGTCACATATCGGCTCGGTGCGTGTTTCGCGGCTCTCCGCGATCTGTAATTGCTATAAGAGTTTGGAGAGCTCGTTCGCGGGCTCTCTGTCTATCTTCATCTTTTTGCGGTCTATGTCAGCTCGTGCGTCGGTGACGGGGTTCCTTAGCTTGTGCTCAGTTAGGAAGCAATTTCTTGATTCCTTCTGATTTCCCCATATCGTTTTGACACCTGATGGAGTTGGGAATTTGAGACAAAGATGATAGGTGGAAGGTACCGCCCTCATCCCGTTGATCCAAGGGGTTCCCATGATGACGTTATAGATGGCTGGGAGGTCAGTGACGCAAAACTCGACGATCTTGGTGACTCCACCAGCTACCACAGGAAGCCTGATCGTTCCCATAGTCATCGTCGTTTCTCCCGAAAATCCGGTTAGAGGTTTGGGGATTGCCTCCACCTCGGAGAGGTCGATTCCCATTCTTCTGAGCGTTTCCCTGAAGATGACATTCACCGAGCTTCCAGTATCGATGAGCACCCTTGCTACGTCATGATCCCTGATCGTTAGCTCGACTACTAACGGATCATTGTGAGGTCGATCGATTCCTGCTGTTTCCTCCTCAGCAAAAGAGATCACCGTGTTTGGGATGTCAGTCGGCTCTGTCCAATTCTCCTTTGCTTCGGCTCGGTGCTGATAGGCTTTGATTGAGGAAACGGTATCTTGATAGTACTGGGATCCACCCATGATCATATTGATCCTTTGTCTCGGCTCGGGTCGCTCTTCAGGTTCGCCTCGCCTGTCGCGCTTGGGGTTGTCGCCTCGTCGGGGAGGATTCGCTGGTTCCGCCGCACCGTTCGGCTCGGCTTTTTCCTGTTGTTCGTTAGGGACGAGGTCCTTGAGGCTGACCGCGTTTTGGAGCTCTCCTGCTGCCATTTTGGCTGCGAGCTTTGCTCCCAGGGTCCGGCATTGAGCCGTTGAGTGTCCGTAGGTCTGGTGATACTCGCAGAAAGCCTTCTCGTCGTAGTTGGCTGACTTTCTTACCCAAGTATTGTTGCGCGGCTCTCCTCTTCCGCGTCCGGAGCTGACCTGGTAGTTATGGGCACCTCCGCTCCTAGGCTCTTCCGAACTCTGCGTTGCCGCGTTGCTTGATGGATTGCCCTTCTTCGCTGGGCGTGGCGCAATTGAGCTTCGGATCGCTGCTTTCGTGGCTTCGTACTGCTCGTCCAAGTTTTTCATTTCCTCCTCGTTTACGATGAAGTCTGATGATCGGTGCAACGCGTCTTGAATTGTTTGCGGCGTATTGAGAGCCATCTCGCGGCAGAATTCGGATTTGTACCACAAGGATCGTTTCAGAGCCTCGAGTGCAGCCTTGTCGCTTATCCCTTCTATTTTGGATACGACCGCCTTGAATCGCGTCATGTAATCCCGAAGCGGTTCGTTCGGTCCCTGAGATAGTGTCCATAGATCGGCATCAGATGTTCCTCTGTCCATAAACATCGAGTATTGTTTAAGGAACAGGGCGGAGAGCTGCTGAAAACTGCCGATTGAATTTCGTTCCTGCCTTGAGAACCACTCGAGTGCGGCTCCCTTGAGATGCTCCACGAAGAGCAGACAGTATCCGGCATCCACTTCGCGCTCGGTGAGTTTAGCGGCGTTCTTTGTGAAGGCTCGCCCCATCGCTATTCGAAACGCTGTGATGTGTGCTTTTGGGTCGGTTGTTCCTTCGTAGAACGGAATTCTCACCTTCCCTGGCTCGGGAATCCTGGCTTCCGTGATCCTTGCAGTGAACGGGGTTCTTTGGGTTTCTTCGCGCATTCGGTCGATTTCGGGTGCGGCACTTGTCGCGTTGTGCACTTGGGATTTCATAGCGCGTATTTCAGCTACCGTTCGAGCCATAGAGGCTCGCAGCTCTTTAAGCTCGAGGGTTTGTGCGTGAGACATTCCCTTTGATTGGGGGAGTCGCTCTCGCTCCTTTCGCCTCGGCTCGTCTTCGCGCTCTTCCTGCTCGTTCAATTGGGGATTTTCGTCCGCTTCGGTTGGGTTATCGCCTCGGGCTGGATCGGAGACTTCGTCAGTCCGGATGCCATTCAGTGCCGAGGCGAGTTCTTCTTCACTGATTCGACGAGCCGAGCCAGTTTGTTGCGGATTTATGGTCTCGTTGTTTTGTTGGGCGTCTACATCGATCGCGTCGTCTCCTTCCTCGCCGGCTCGTTGCCTGGAGTTGCGGCGTAGTGGAGGCGGCTCGGTCATGTTGATTCGGGTTGCTGCAGGAGTGCGTTCATCGAGGGGACAAAGAAAAGAGGAGTTTCTTGCACCACTCCCTGAGGCTTCGGCGGGCGTCGAGAAGTCGAAGCGTCTTCGAATTCCGTCCATCGGGTCGTTGACTCCGGCTCTCCAAGTCGGATGCTGTCGCTCTGCTGCCATTGCGTCGAGCCTCGCCGTAATCGCCTCGTTTCTTTTGTCCTGGTCGTCGATCTTTTTCATCAACGCAGCTATCATGTATCGCATCTCCTCATGGGTTTCGGTCGTCGCAGTTGTTGTCGGCGCGGTCGTTGTGCCTGATCCTGGAGCGTCCCTATCCGCGCCGTTACCGGTGTTGTTGTTGTCGTCGTTAGCGTTGCTCGCCATTTTCTTCGAATCTTAAAGCTTTGTCGATATAGAGTAAGAAAGTTTCGTTCCCCACAGACGGCGCCAAATTGTGTGAGCCAAAACTCGCACAACCTAAGATTTGTAAAGAAAACTAAGGGATCGGAAACTTCTAGAGCTTATCGCCAAAAACAGTAAGATCAAAAGAAAGCTTTTCTTGCTGTGAAAGTGTTTGGTTCTTATTGCTTAGGGTTGCCAAAAGTTGGCGGAATGAATTACATACACCACATATTTATACTGATTTTCTAAACCGCCTAGCCGAGAATCTCGGGCGAGATTTTCGGAATATTTCCTTATCGCCCTCGTGCGGCTGACCGACTTTGCATCTCGCCTAGGGTTTTTCATGGGCTTCGCCTCTTCAAGGCTTCGGCTCGGCCCATCATGCTTTCTTTACGGCTCGGCCCACTTGACATAATTCGCTCCACCTCTCCGCGGCACGGCTCGGCCCAGGTATTTAAGACAGGGGCTCGGCCTATGTTATGTTATACGGCTCGGCCCATCTCCTTCTTCTCGGCTCTCCCACCTGGCGATCGCGGCTCTCCCGCCTTTCTTGGTAAAAACGGCTCTCCCACCTTTCTTGGTGGAAACGGCTCTCCTTCTTGCCTTGGTGAGAACGGCTCTCCCGTTTTGATGATCACAGCTCTCCCATTTTTCTATACTTAGTTATTTTGGGATGGTTTATTTGTGTGGGGTGGAAACCGACCCCAACACCGGGGAACCAACAAAATCTGCCACCGGGCAAGCAAAGAAATATTCCACCGGGGAACTGAAGAAATCGATGCCTACGAAATCTACGCCTCCCAATTTTCTGCCGAAGAAATCCACCCATGTAAGGTTCACCCAGGTTTCTTCTTCAGAAGAAACAAAGTCATCTGAATCAAAGGAGATCGCAGCTAAGGGCAACCCTTCGGAGAGTGGTGACAGTGATAGTGATGACGGCATTGATAGTTATGTTGGTGAGGAGAATGTCGAAGGTTAGTTATATATTAGTAATTCATCACTAGTAATCATTTACTTTATAAGAGGATCATGTTGTAGGATTAGAGCATGATGGTGAAGACAACGAAAACGAAGGAAAGAAGGACGATCACAATGACGCAGATGGTTAGTTGTATACATATAGATAACTATTATAGTATTCAACTACTATTATACAATTATTAGATGAATTTTCAATTTCTCATATTTATGTATTCAATCAGAAGAAGTGAATCTCGACGGTGAAGGAATTGAAAACGAAGTTCAGAATGACGACCAGAATGACAATGATGGTTAGTACTTACGACTATAACCCGATTATTAGTTTATGTTCACTTCTCATTTCTATGTATTGAATCAGATGTTGAAGGACTAGAGGGTGGTGGTAATAGAGTGCCTGATGGTGATGTAAATGCACCAGCTGACCAAGCGAAGTCCGTGATGGACATGGTCGGTTCTTCTGCTTTGGACCAGGCGACCATCGCTCATAACCAGATAGCTTTGGTTCTTTCGAACTTAGCGAAGGACCCTTACAAGGTAAGAAGTTGATTACTAATAATCAATTACCTTTAGTGTGTGATCAACTACTGCCTTACCTGTAAACTTCTATTGTAGGCATATACCACAGTTCCTTCCACCGCCGTCAACTCTGGGATTCCCTTTACGGATCAGGTATTTGGCGAGGATGACCAAATTAGAGACGTAAACCCTTCACCTGCGAAGTCTGTAAAACCATTAGAATATCGTGCAATTGTTAGTAAGCTTGTATATGTTTGATAGTTGTATAACTCATAAACAGAGGTAACGTAGTTATCTTTTTAATTTGAAGGTTAATGAGCACCTTAAAGCAGTGGAAGAGCCCCCTATCCCAGCACAAACCAGCAGTGAACTCCCACAACAAGGAAAGGTTGGTGCTCGTCGTCCGATAATTATTTATTAATAGTTAATTGTGTTAGTAAACGACTATGTCTTATTGGTGGTAGGTTACAGATGTCGTAAAGCCCGACACATATAGTGAAATCCCTGAAGGAGTTGAACCTCTTGTTTGGTCACTCGGTCTTACACAAGAAGAAAAAAACATGATAGAGGCCAATAAGATTCCAAGCGAGGAGCCCCAACCGGTCCGTAAAAGTAAACGAGTAGCCCAACCTTCAACAGCAATGTCAGACTACGTGATTCCACGCCCAAAACGATCTAAAAAGAATGACAATTTGGTGGACTTTAGTCATTTCTTCACGCCACCCACTCCTGAGCAACTCACTTTCCTTCAAACAAGGATGGAAGACAGTCGGTAAGTAAACGACTTTCGATTAATTTCCAAAGCACGTAATGCGTATACATATTTATGTGTTTCATTTGTGTAGGAAATTGGATTGATGGGATGGGATATTCCTCTCGGTGAACATTCTGAACGAGATAGTATCCCTGAAATTCCCCATATCTTCCGTGGTAATCATTTACTAGTAGTTATTTATGGCAACTACTAATATCCGTTTACATATAGCTGAGTACTAACCAACTCTATCTCTCTTGCTAGTCTATTGACAGTGTCATTAGGTTGTTCCGACATCAGCTTTCTGAAATTAACGATAGCCATTCCAAAGTTGACTTCGTTGAGTATGCCTTCATTCACCAGATTGAAGAGCTCTACTCGAAGCTCATAAACCCGCCCAAAAAGAAACCATTCACACTACCGACTGGTGCTCTTGAATACGTCAAATCTAAGCGGTCATGGTACACTCAGATTGGTCGTATTTACTGTCCCTACGAAGTGGACAGTAAATACTGGGTTGGTTTATGCATCGATTTTGAGAGCCATGAGATATTTGTCTTCAATCCTTACGAGACTTTTAAGGAGATGAAGCTTAAGACCAGTGTCTCTCCTCTCGCTCAGTGCCTACTTCATTTCATTAGGAAAGTCGCCTACAATACCGAGATGAAATCAGACACCCTTACCGCGTTCACAATCAAGGTCGTCAAACCGATGTTCCAGACACTGAACCTAGGTATATTATCATTTTCGTGAGATATTAATATACAAGTAGTCAATTATATGTTTATCTGATTACAAATAGTTATCTATATTGGTATCACTTACAAATAGCTAACTATTATTTGCAGGGCTACTTGGCTTGATGACGCTCATGTCCCTACAATTACACTCTTCCAGTATATCACTTGATATGGCTATCGGTGATGATGTTGTTCGTGATGCCGCTCTTAAATTTGCTTACGATCTCCTTTGCCTGATCGATCCGTCTTCGTGATTCCCAACCATGTCATCCGATGTACTTTGTTCGCTATTGTAATTTTTTTTTTTAAGTTGTTGGAATGTTGTTATCTTGTTGGATGTTTGAATGTTTATTTCGTATCGCTTTTATGGTGTGCTATTTTACACCTTAACAACTTGAACTTGTTTGTGGAATTACGAAAGTACTATTTATTTGTATTTCAATAACTACGATGAACCCATATTAGCTTAGCTTCTTTTTTAGAGTACGTACTTAATAGTATATAACTACTGTAATAGACAATTACTAGTGGTCGTCCATGTATTACGAGTAGATCCACGTTTGTTTTAGTAGACCTACTATGGGAATTCATGAGGATCAATTTAGAACTACCTATTTAGAATACTTAGTTGACTATTAGTATTCCAAATATAATACTATCCTATCCACCCTATGCAAAGTAGTCTAAATAGGTGAGGAATATGAAGTCTCCAAATTCAACAATCATAGAATATTAAGGGAGAAGAGTATTAGAGGCAATACAAATCCAAACAAATCCGCAGGAATTAAGTCATAAACATAGAGATGCATTGTATCAAAAAAACCTTCAAACTTGAAATACAAGATTTAGGCCCTACACCTAAACAAGATGTAGTCCCTTCACTTGAAATTTGAAGTGCATCATATCCGAGTCTCCCTGCCTCATTCCAAAACAACACCTGACACAATCATTACTTATCCTTGACCGGGAGCTTGCAAGTAGCTCTGTTGTGACCCTTACCCTGACACCTGCTGCAAATCCTTGCCGCCTTCCTCGCACGCCTCTGTTTCATTCATAATTAATTAGTTCTCTTTAAATTTACATAGTTGTCTACAACATAGTTGGATACATTTTTCATAATTTTACCTTAAACTCTCCTCTTGATGGTATCCTGATTTTCCTTGGACGCCCCGGTGGCCTGCGCATTAATGGAGGAAGCAACTCGTTACCAGAACTCACCGGTGTTGGCACTGGGTGAAAAACTCCGTCATAAAGGGCTCTCCGGTATTCTGTTGTGTACACCTCTCCCACAAGCTTATTTATCTCAATTCCGCAGCAAGAACTAGCAGCAATTGCATGGCGGCATGGAATTAGTAGCATTTGGAACTCCCTGCAGCTGCATGACTTGGAAACTAGGTTCACTTCGAACCGGTTCCCCTTCCTGTTGTAAACTTCGTATTCATCGCTTCCCACAGCAACCACCTTCATTACATGATAGTTAGCTACCAATAGTCGGTTACAACTAAATTGAAGTCAATATTCGTCTACGTTTACCTTCAGTTCGGTGCAACCATAGAAGTTTTCGTCCAAAATATCACGAACTTTGGGATTTACAGCATGATTTTCAGCGGCTGAGGCACTTTTCCTCCTTACAAACCAACTGATAAGACTCATTCTTATCGCCTCAAGCATTGAGATTAGGGGGAACTCACGACATTCCTTCAATACCTTGTTCAGAGATTCGGCTACATTAGTAGTCATGATATTGTAGCGGTCGCCAATGCAGTACGCCGAGTCCAGTGTGGTAATCCCATATCCATTAAATACTTGGCGCAACGAGGGTTGATGTTTTCCAAATCTGCAAATATTTGCTGAAACTCGTGCACTGTGTAAGCTTTTGCAGCTCTGACCATAAGAGATGGAAGACGGCTCTCTTTGAATCGGGTTGTAATGTTCCTCGCCAGATGGACTAGACAAGCACCATGGCCCGCAGATGGGTACACCTACATATACCATTTACATAGTTAACTATATATATGCGTATATATAATTATAACTATTAACAAATGTAGTTGTCTACGACAAACCTTTTGAAGCCCTGAGTATATGCTACCATGACGGTCAGATATAAACATAACGGCGCTGCTATCCGGAATGATGGTTTTCAAGCAATTGAAAAACCATTCATAAGATGCATCGTTCTCACTATCTACAACAGCATATGCTATCGGGTAGATCTGAAAGTTTCCGTCTTGAAAGTATGATAAAAGAAGTTATGAGTATTCCATAATCAACTATCAAAGTAGGTATCTATTTATAATCGAATATTCACCATCGATCAGAACCACGGGTCGCAAGTATTTCAGTCCAGCAACTGAAGCAGCAAATGCGATGAAAAGGTACTTGAACCTTTGGCAACCATTCTTGTCCACAACGAACTCTGTCATGCAAACGGTTCCCGGGTTGGAGCTCTGAAGATTTTCCAGGTACGAAGGGAGCAAGGCAAAACTTCCAGAAACTGATCCAAACGCTTTTTCAAGTGCCAGTTCCCTGCACTTCCACGCCTTCCAGTAAGAGATGTTAACCTACGTAATACAAGTAGACAATTACTGTCTGATCAACTAGAAACAGATAACTACGGGTAGTTAACTACGGAATAATATTAATGTAATCAAGATAGGAAATTGTGGTGTCAGCCATAAACAAGACCTGGAACTCTTGGAGCATTATGCGCAGAATTTCTATTGGACCCGGTCCTCGCTGCCCTGCCACAAATCTTGTGGAGATCAGCTCACCTATCACTTGCGTTGTTGCTTGCTTGTGATACTTCTGGCGGTCTTCAATGGGACATGTGTGTTTAAGCGTGGCCTTCTTAATCTGGAAGTTCCCTGTCGCATCCATCAGGGAAGCATAGACCCGCCATGGACAGCTGTGATTAACGCACAGGAACTCCATATAGCTTGGAGTTAAACGTGGAGTCCTGAAATGGAACTTTCTGTTGATGGCATGGATGACCATCTTAATCTTGCACTCCACTTTGTTACGAAAAATCCTGCCTACAAAAATTTTGTCCCCCTCGCACCGCACGTCCCTCAAGGCACTGTCAATTCCTGCATTATCAAAGGCATAATCTGATTATTTCCTAAAGTAGTGTACTACTTTGTAACTACTCATATATAAACAACTACTAACCGTCGTCAGAAATTTCATCTACGATTGGGGCAGCATCCCTCCCAAACATGGCAGGGAACTCCTCTGTCTCATTGAAGACCCCATTAATTGTCTCGTCGGCGCAGCTGTAACGGGCGGAATGATTGCTACATTCCCCTTTTTGTGGGCCTTGATTTTTTGGTTTGTTTTCTTGCACTTTGTCCTTTCCTTTTGCACGTCTTTTTGCCACCTCATCTTGATCCTTCACCGAGTCTTCATCATCTCTGGCAGACTCGTTGAACCCTTCGTTCCTCCCCTCGACCGAGTCATCATCACTCACCAGAAAGTTTAACTCTCCATCCAGACGAATTACATGCTCTTCCACATTGTCACCGCTTTCATCTTTCCCACCAGATTCTCCTGTATGCATCATGACTTAAAATATCAGCTTGTAAAGGTAATCAGTTGCATAGTATATGCCTACTTATATTGGTCATATGATAATTATTTACTAACACAGTGATTCAAACTTTATAACCAACATCAACAACGTCTATTATTATGTGATTAGCAATAGCTGTTTACTATTAATACAGATATCATACTTGTAGTTTTTTAATAATCCACATCGTAAATGTCTACTTATAGATGTATACCGTTTCCGCGCTTATATCACAGTAGATAGTACTCGTCTACTTTGTAACGTTAGTTCGGGCATATTAAGTGTAATAGACAACTAGTCATAAACAGCTAGTTCTAAGATCTTACCCTCTTTGTTTTCATCGCTTTTTATCTTTTCCACGAGATTCTCCTGCACAGAACATGATTTAAAACATCAGCTCATAAAGATAGCTATGGTACGTAGTATACATCTACTAATAAATGTCTTAGTATAACTACTTTGAGGTTATAGTTAACTACGTTATAGTCAACTAGTTATAATATATTACCCTCGTTATCTGCTTTGTTATCGGCTGATTTTTCGTAGACAACCATAGCCATCTCCATTGTTGCAGATTCCCTCACACCCTCATTCAGCTGGTCATCATCCGCGGTGATGCAGAGATTCAGCTGGTCAATCTCGGACCTCATTTCAACAAAAAGGGCGACATCATCGTCCGTTTGTATGGAGACTGGTGGTGCGTCCCTTCCGTCGTCCATAAGCATGTATACGGACCACTAGTAAGTAAGAGCCACGCCGACGTCTTCGTGTATCCCCATTTTCTCTTTAGTCAGCTTCACCACTTCCTTGAACTTCATCATTGAGCTGAGAAAAACAGTTTGGCTATTCCCTGTGCGCTCCGTCAGAAAAGTCCACACTCCATTCCCGCCTTCGAACCATTTCCCCCTCACAAGCAAAACCATTTGTCTCCCCAACATCCACATTCACCACAAAGAAAACAAACACTAAATAAATAACTACTAAATCAAAATTAGTTACAATATTCATCTAGGAGTAGTCATACCTTCGTTAATCTTCTTTGTAGACAAACCCTAACAATGTTGTTTACTAGCGGCGGTGTAGGATGTTATGAGCTTTTGTCTATTTATGTGATCCACCCAAGACAACACGCTATAAACCTATTCGTACAATCCCATACTAGACGACAAAGCTTCGAGTTTGGGTTTAGAAAGTAAAGCCAAAAGTTTCGCTTGTTAGTGTTTGGGAAGCATGGTAGCGTGTCATTGTGTGTAAACTTGTGTGGTCCCATCGGGGACAAGGTTTAGCTCGTCATTTCCACCTGCTTTTTTTCATTGACTTCTGCTATAGACATAATTGACTGCCTTTCGCTTGTAGTCTCCTAATTGATGCTTCCAAACATAATATTGATGCAAATCACCCTTTTTTATATATACTCTATGATCCAGTCATGATACGAACGCACGAAGGTACTGCAGACTGAATTTTTTTTATCCCGGTTCAAAGGATACCAAAAGCTTGCTTTGAACTGACTCGGGTCACTAACCCATGAAATCTATGAGATCTAACGGATCACACTGTTTATCCCGAATTTAGAATACTTTCTCACTTGGTAGCCGGACTGTCTATTATCGTATTAAGTTTCTTGGACTTTAAACTCAAAACCAATTGGCAATGAGTGGATTGACCCAAATCCCTTATATATTATCTTAAGATCTCTCACAACTTCAAATGTAGGATATTCTCACAAGCCCCCTCGAGATTATGGTCCATCTAGCCATTAATCTCGACAATATATCATCAGATTAATTTCGGGTAAAATCAGTCGATTAATTCGGATAACACCGATTTGGATTAAGATCCAGCAAGCCTTTTTTGATAGGCCGGATTGATTTCAGTTTAAATGGGCAGCGTGTGATCGGACTCTGATACCATGTTAAATTTCTTAAACTTTCATTTCAAAACCAATTGACAATAAGTAAATTAACTCAAGTTCTTTATATATTATCTTAAAATCTCTCATAACTTCATATGTAGGATATTCTCACATACCGACTACCATGTAAACTACATAAACTTTAGATCCAAGTCCAAATTTTCCATATCGAGAGAGATCAAACCCGGATAAAATGGTGTAACATCCCACGCGATCTTTCTTACCACTCAACTACATTCATGCGGGCAAGTAACACTTGTTTAATTGTACATTATTTATTAGTTGTGGCAAGTGTCATATTACTTTAATTTGTTTTATATAATAAATAAAATTTCAGTGTTATATATGTACTGTTTAGAAATACAAATATACAAACGTCCAAAGCACGGTTGATTCGATGACTTGGTAAGATACAACGTGAAAAGCACGGTTGATGCGTTGACTTTCCATTTGAGCTGCAAATTATACAAAGCATACGTTAAAGCAAACGCGTAATCAAAATGTGTTCACAAGATTCGACTTCCATCTCTAAAATTTACGTAATTAAGAAACTGGTTTTAAAATGGTTTTTTTTTATATATCTGAGATTTTCCAAGCCAAAACCTAAATTAACATCCAAAAACGATTAGAAAAGAGAGAGGGATTATATATTTTTGCTCTTTCAAATGTTTACAATGATCAACCAATAAGTAAAATTACTGCAATGAGAAGATTGAAACTCTTATCTCTCAACTTCAAAAGTGAATTATTAACCTATAAATCACGGTGAACTAATTACACATAATCAGGCCCGACGATGGAGTAGTGCTAACAGTGCTTTTGCACTGTGTGTCTCACCGTTCTTGTTAGTTGTTGCAAAATAGGGTCCCCAGTTATGAAAATTTGTGGAATATGACCCACAAAATTCTATTTATACATAACTAATCATATTTTTCAATTTCGTTTTAGTTGGGCAGATGGCCCAAAGATTGTTTGAACCGGTCTGCATATGAATATTTATTACCACAGTAAACATACATTAAATCCAGAAAAAAAAAGTTTACAATGGAGATCATTATTTGCGTTGCTCTCTTTCTTGGATTTTTGTTTTTGTTTGCTATTTGTTTAGTCTCTTTGGTTACTCATGCTACCATATATCGATTGTTTTATTTTAGTGTTTTTTTTATAAGAAATTTGATTTAACTTCATTGAAATATCATAATTCTTTTTGTTATGTGCGTTGTTTCTTCATCAAATTAATCACTAGGGTTTTGT